TAAACCAACACGAGTCTCATTAAGTGTCCAGTTTAAGGGTATTACACAGAAACATACCAAGGGAACATGAATCAAATATGTATCTTTATTTATTTACAATAAACTCATAAAGTACATCATTCTGATTGAAGCTAAGGGCATACAAAACTGACTTGTTAGGTAGCAGTAATTCTCTTAGTGAGACTCCTTTGAACTCGGTCTCAACAGTGTGGAATGTTAGTTGCCCCCCAAAGTTAAAAGTTTTCTTGTATCTTATGCTTAACAACAAGCTCCTCTCTAAGGTCAACCTTCGTAAGAGGGGTGTGAATATTGTTGATGACTGTGTTTGGTGTGGAGGTAGGGAGGATGTAAAGCATATTTTCTTGGACTGCACCATTGCTAAGCAAGTTTGGGGTTGCACAGATGTCAATCCTGTAAGTACTAACGGGGAGAGTAATCGAATGGTTGATTGGTGGACTACTATTCACAAGAGGGATAGTACGGAGAATAAGTTTTTGAAGGAGAAGTGTGTGTTCATTCCATGGCATGAACAGAAATAGGAAAATGTTTAAAAATAAAGAGGACGATACCTTACTTATTGCTACAAAGGTGGGTAAGGCGTTCTCAGAATACTAGGAGCTTATTGACAAGTCAGGTCTCATCATAGAAAGGAAAAAAAATGTAGTCTTATTGCTTGGATCCCCCCCCACCCCCCAAGTATGGTGAAATTAAGATCAATTTTGATGTCTCTCGATTGAGGGATGGTTTTTGTTCTGTTACAGCAATTGTTAGAGACCATATGGGAAGGGTCTTGGATTTTAAATGCTCAACTCTTGGCACTATTTCTATTAATGCGGTTGAGGCTTGGACTGCATGGGAAGCTCACAATCTGGCCCTTAACTTTAATGACCGCCCAATTACGATTGAGGGGGACTCGAAGATTGTTATTGGTTGTTTAAAAGGGCAGATTTCTCCCTCATGGAATCTTAGGAACATCATCTTAGGTTGCTTGAAGATGAAAGAGCTGCTGGAGAGAGGTGTACAATACAAGCACATGTTTAGAGAGGCAAACCAGGCAACGAATTGGCTCACTCACAAGGCGATGTCTTCTTCTCATTCTGTTTTTTCTTTTAACTATTGTAATCTTCCTAGAGACCTATATTTTATTTGTTTAAGTGACTTCTGGGGTCGTACTTCCCCCGTCTTTTGTAGCATATTTTCTTTCATATCAAAAAAATAAAAAAGTGCGTTGGTTTTGATTAGGGTGTAACAGGAAACTTAGCAAAACTCAATCTTSGTCAAAGTTTTTTTTTTCTTAGTGAAAGATTTTCACCATTAGAGGCTTAGTTAGAGCTACTTAATGAGTAGCTCTATTACAATCCCTACTAATATCAAAAGACATACACAACCATATTTTATCTACAATGCCCCAAAATCCCCAACAAATATAGCCGCATCTGATCCATTAACAGTCAGCATAGTTCTGCTTCTTTCACTGCACACCAAAAGGAATATCCACTTGAACTCTTGCAGTACAAACTAAGGTGGCGTTTGATAGATCTAAAATTTGAAAAGTTAAGAAGATATTAAAAGTGTCTGAAATCGAAAAAGAGCTATGATGCTTTTCTACTTTTTAGATGCTTTGAATGAATAGATAGGATTGGTTGTGTTGGATCAACCATTTAATATTTGAAGTTCCCTGATTTTATTATTTTACCCCCAAAACAGACTATTTGATAATTTTGAGTTCAATTTGCACTATTTCATATCAAATAATTTATGAAATTTAAAATAATACAAATAAAAAATAATAAAGTCTAGCTGGTGCTCTTGTTGAAAAAGTTAAGGCCAAAGTAGTAAAGTTGATTGTTGAACCACTAGAGGATGACTGTGATATCACACCAATTGTGACGGATGCCAAGCATAAAGGATCAACATTTTGCCAAGAGTACAGGAGAGAAGGAAATCTATTCTGGCCTCTCTTGTTAGATCATGTTCGACCTGATATGAGAATTGCATGGGAGGAACCATTTGGACCTGTTTTGCCAGTCATAAGGATAAACTCTACAGGTAAATATTCCATCTTATCCTCCCTTACACATTAGTATAAATCTCTTTGTCTTCCTATGACACATTGAAGATTCTACTCCAAGGTGTTTTCTCCTAACCTGTCATTCTATTGAGAATGTATGATATTTCCAACGCCAAGTTTGCTCTATTGTAATCTACTTGGTCCTAGCTATTAATTAGAAACAAAGATAGCTCCTCAATCCAGGAGTTCCAGGACTATCCAATGAGTGGTTGTCTTGGATTTCTGTAGTCCAATAATCACTCGCCTTAATAAGTTAGTGGTTTGATAATTCATTTAAATTGGTATTGGGATAACAATTAGAATTATACTGTAATATGGTTTTCAAAACCAAGAT